TATTCTTTCATTTTTTTATGGCTGTGGAATTCATAAATTCCACTTCTTTAAATACATCTTTTTCATTTGCACTCTTCAGGAACATCATTCTGTGATATTATATTCTCTTCACAATCCACAGAGTCCTCTGCCTCATCAGGTGTGGATTACTTTTCCTTGGAATTATTATACTTATTCATAGATATGTAAACTCTTTTCCTTGATTTGGATAATATTTTCCCTTCTTAATTTTAATATTTTTCCTGTTGGTTTATCTATTCTTTTTAAAAGTCTTTAATTGAGTATTTTCCCTCCTGAGACCTGTCATAATTTTAGTCCTTTTTCTTTATTTCCCCCTATTTCTCACTTTCTGAATTTCTCTACTTTTCATGGCAGTTCACTGGAGGCTGGATCTCAAAGCTACATCAGCCTCCTCCCATGTTGGGCAATTCATGGTTCACCAGCCTAGGTCTCTGGTCCAATTGACTTTTTGGGGGTGAGAAGAAGGCTCCTCTGGATACATATACTGCTTCTTTGAAACAAGCTGTATCTTTTCAGAGTCACATTGCAGTAATGGATGTTTAACCTGACAACTTTCAGAGAAATCCATGAAGTCAAATTTACCTCATACATTTATATTTGTAATTTATTTTGTTTGTTGGTCGTACTTGTACATTCCTGAATTGACAGCTGAGGAAATAAGTCCTATTCTTTCTTAAGTGAGACTGATTATTTTACTTCTGATTGTTTTAACTGCTATTCTTCCTATTATGGCAAATTCTTATCCTATTTATCTTCTTGAATAGACAGACACCTAGGCATGCCCTCTCCCTTCTTTTAGCTTTTCTTATATGACTTCTGAGGGTAGTACTAATATCAAGATGTAGCAGTTCCAGGGAGGTAGATTTTCACTCAGTCTAATAAGGACTTTTCTCAAAACCAAAGCAATCAGCCAAACAATGGAGATATCCACTTTATTTGGTAAGAAATTCCCTGTAACTGAAAGAATTCAAGGAGAAGATGAATGACATCTTATTTAGGGACATTTTACATCTAGAAAGCATTATTCCATGATATAAGTAGCTGGAGTAGAAGACCTCCAAGATCTTTCCTATGATTTTAGGATTCATAAGAGAAATCAAAAGATTAAAGAAAAGGTCCATCCATATGAAGAATTTGTTAATTGCCTACAATGTGTCAGGTATTTTTAGGTTCTTTGTATACAAAAATAAATGTGAAACAGTCTCTACTCTCTAACAGCTTATATTCTATGGTGTCAGGTAAAATTCAAGATGTACATAGAAAACTAAGTATAAAATATATGCAGTAAATTTGGTGGGAGTGGGGGATAACCACTAACAATTGGGTAAATCAAGAATTGTTGTTGGAGTTAGTACTTGAACTCAGCCATGAATGGAGCTGGGAAATCCAAGAAACAGAGGTAAATACAGTCTCCCCTATGTTCCATACATGGGAAACAGCCTGTGTAATGGCTCGGGAGGAAGAGATGGAACATCATTCTAGAATCAGAGGGCAAAATAGAAATTGAAAGAACCTATCAATTACCTCCTGTAAGAGACCCCAAAATGAATACTCCCAGGAATATTGTAGCCAAATCCCAGAGTTTCAAAGTCAAGGAGAAAATATTGCAAGCAGCCAGAAAGACAATTTAAGTTTATAAGACAAGATTTAGCAGCTTCTACATTAAAGGATAGGAGGGCTTGGAATATGATATTCTGAAGGACAGAAGAGCTAGGATTGCAACCAAGAATCACCTACCCAGCAAAACTGAGGGGGGAAATGGACTTTCAGTGAGATAGAGGAATTTCAAGCATTCTTGAGAAAAGACCAGAGCTGAATAGAAAATCTTACTTTCAAATACAAGACTCAAGAAAATCATAGAAAGGAAATGATGATCAAGATGCTCTCAGAGAAGCCCAGAAGAACTTATATGAGCTGATGCAAAGTGAAATATACTGTGGACAAAGTAACAGCAATATTGTGGAATGATCAGCTGTGAATGACTTAGCTATTTTCAGCAATACACGATCCAAGACAGCTCTGAAGGACTTATGATGAAAAATGCTATCCATTCCCAGACAAAGAATTGCTGGTGTCTGAGTACAGATCGAAACATAGGGGTTTTTATTAACTTTCTTTATTTTTCTTTTCTTAATTTTTTGTCTATGTTTTCTTTCACAACATGACTATTATGAACATGTTTTGCATGTGTAACTCCTATTGAATTGCTTGCCTTCTCAATGGGGAGGGGTGGGGAGGTAGGAAGGGAGAGAATTTGGAACTCAAAGTTTTAAAAATGAATATTAAAAATTGTTTTGACATGTAATTGGGGAAAGTGCCAGGCACTCTGTTAAGCACTGAGAACACAAAAACAGGCAAAAGACAGTCCTTGACCTCAAGGATCTCACAATCTAATGGGGGAGACAACATGCAAACAAATGTATAAAAACAAAGATTAATAGGAATTCATTAACAGATTGAAAAGACTAGAATTAAGAGAGGTTGAGAAAGGCTTCCAGGAAAAATGAGATTTTTAAAAAGTTGGAACTTAAAGGAAACAAAAGAAGCCAGCAGGTGGAGTTGAGTAGAGAGAGCATTCCAGACAAGGGAGACAAGCGTGAGAAAAATGCCCAAAGCCAAAAAATTGAGTGTCTTGTTCATGGAACAGTGAAGACACTAGTGTACATGTAGCCAAGAGTACCTGGTATGCAGTAAGGTATTAGAAGACTAGAAAGGGAGAAAGGAGCTAGGACTCAGGGTTGGGGAGCCTGGGGCCTTGAGGGCGCATATGGCCTTCTAGGTCCTTGGGTGAGCCTTTTGACTGAGTATAAGTTTTACAGAACAGCTCCTTTTATTAATTTTGTTATTAATTTATTAGCCACTAGGTTATGAAGGGATTTGAACATCAAACAGCAGCTTTTGCATTTGTCCCTAGAGGTGATAAGGAGACACTGGCATTCACTGCACTGTGGGGAGTGGGAGTGGGGAGGGAGAGGTAACAGCAGCATGCTTGTACTTTAGGAAAATCACTTTAGTGGCTAAATGGAGGATGAATTTGAGTAGGGGGAGAAGTGAGAAATCCAACATTTCTGCCTCCTAATATTTTTCTCAGAAGTACTATTGTCTTATTCGAGGGACTAGGAACCAGCCCCATCACTGAGAAAAAGCTATTCTGCTAATGAACCTCCTAAGGGCTTCTTTTATGTCCTTGTTCCTAAGTGTATAGATGAAGGGGTTCAACATGGGGGTAACCACAGCAAACATTGCTGAGGCAACTGTTCTCTTCCACGAAGAGTGGGTAGCAGAGGAGCTCAAATATACTCCAAAATCTGTGCCATAGAATAAGAAAACAACAGAGAGGTGAGATCCACAGGTAGAAAAGGCTTTGTACTTACCCCGAGCAGATGGGATTTTCAAAATGGAAGAACAAATCTGACTATAAGAGAAAATGATCCCAGAGAGGGGGAGAATACCCAATAGTGCAGTAACAAAATATATCAAGACATAATTGATGAAAGTGTCAGAACAGGAGAGTTTCAGAACCTCAGCAAGATCACAAAAGAAGTGGTGAATTTCATGGTCTGTACAGAAGGAGATCCGTGTTACCATCAGACAGTGAAGGAGGGAGTCTAGAAGGCTTATTATCCAGGAGAGCAGAACCAGTAGGCTACAGATATCAGGACTCATTATGGCTGCATAGCGTAAAGGGTGACAGATAGCTACAAAACGATCATAAGCCATTGCAGTGAGGAGGAAATCGTCCAAACAAGCAAAAAGCAAAAAGAAGTACATCTGGATAAGACAGTTGGCATAGGAGATGGCCTTGTTTTGTGTCAAGATGCTCATCAGCATCTTGGGGACTGTGGTGGTTACCACACAGATATCCACAAGGGACAAATGGGAAAGGAAGAAGTACATGGGGGTGTGGAGGTGAGAGTCAGATCCAATGGCCAGCATTATGAGCAGGTTTCCAACCACAGTGACCAAGTACATGCCCAAGAACAAGCCAAACAGGGAACCCTGCTGCTCTGGCTTCTCAGAAAATCGCAGGAGGATAAATTCAGTGAATTGTGTTTGGTTTCCTGGTACCATGGGTATGATTTTTCTGCTGGGAAAGTGAAGTGAGAAGAGCAGGACATGAAAATACAGTTATCTCTGTATATGAAATGGAAAGAACACCAGGCACTGACTGAGAATTTCTAAGTTCTGTCCCTATCTCTGCCCCTTATTATCTTTGTGATCTTGGACAAGTCAATATTTCCACATTCAATCTCCCTCGATGCAAGATAGAGGACTTGGATCTAATGACCTCTAAGATTCCTTCCAGTTCAGACAGTCTGAAATATGAACAATCAAATTTAGAAAGGAACATTTTATGAACACCATCTGAAATTCACTGTAAGCATCAGGCACCTTTGAGCACTGAGATGAAGAAGGAGACACTCTGGGCATGGTAGGTCCACTCTTACAGCCAACAGCAGAGAGAGAGGACAGTGATCTGGTATGACTGAAGCTTTTGGGCCATCCAATCCTCACCTGAAATTGTAAAATCACACAGAAATGGCAGAGACCTCTTAGAACACAGTACAAAACTTTAATCTACAAAAAATCCTGGCACAAAAATATTCCCGGTAATTGGGCATCTGGCCTTTCCTTGAAGACCTCTATGGAAAGGAAACCTCTCAGCTTCCTGAGGGAGCTTATTCCACTCTGGGTTTGCTTTCACTTTCCTTTCTATTGAGTGAAAATATGTCTTTCTGTCTCATCTCTTTCCAACATAACATCCCTTTAAATATATGAGAACAGCAAGCCTTATGTATATGTTCTGCATATGTTTTCTCTCCTTTAAGCCAAGAAACTCTAATTCCTTCAGCTGATCTTCATAGGCCCTTCACCATCCTAGTTACTATCCCTTGCATCCTTTCTAGATCATCATTGTCATTTCTAAGTTGTGGTACCAAGAACTAGACACAGAATTTCAGATGAGTTCTGACTATCATCAAGGACAATGGAATTATCACCTCCTTCCTAATGCAAGCCATGACTCCTTGATTGCAGGCTAAATTTTCTTTAGGTTATTTTGTCTGCCATAACACTGCTGACTCGTAGTGAGTTTACTGTCTACTAGAAACTCTCAGATCATTTTTAAATGAATTACAGTCTTGTATGTTGGAGGAGTATAGGGGTTTGTGTGTTTTCCCTTGTTTTGTATGCTGTAGCTACAAGTAGTCACTAGTGGATAGGTTCATCCTTCGAGAATTTGGTGAGCCTGTGTTGCCAAGGCTAAGGTTTCCCCAAGACAGCCGATGGCTCTATATATGAAAGGGCACCTCTCTGAGACTCTGCTCCATCAGCCTTGAATGGGTTCTGGGTGTTTCAGGAAACACCTTCCAGTTCTGACATGTCTTCTATAACCCCTCAAAACACTGACATTCTATATTCTAAAGTCCATATCAGCTGACCCTATGTTTTACATTCCTTTCCAAGATGTATGTGGTTTTGAAAAAGAAAAAAAATGTGGCCCAGGCTAACAGTATTGTGTTAAAATGGGACTATTGATTCTAGGAAAGTATTTCTAGAGAGAATGGAGTTAGGTTTTCACCTAAGATTTTGGGGTAAAATTAACAACCTCAAACAAGGACAGACCACCTGGTATGTTCATTATATTAACCATAAAAGTCAAGAACAGCCTGAACCAAAGAGACAGATTTTCTACAAAAGGAATCTCTCTGAAAATTCCAGAATCACTGAATCTCAGAATTGGAAGGTACTCCAGAACTCATCTAGTTCAACCTTGACCTACTTGAGGATTCTCCTCCCATGACCCAGGGCAAATTTGGTGTGCCTATGAAAGGCACATACTGAGCTCTTTCTGCATGGTGAGGCAGGCACCAGATATTTATTAAACATTTACATCTGATTTCATTTGTATAAAACCTTTTAAAAATAATTTTGTTCATAGAGTTCTTCGGTTTGTTTTGGCAGGTGTACTCCAATGTATTTTATACTGTCTAGAGTTACTTTCAATGGAGTATCTCAGGATCTCTTCTTGCAGGGTTTTGTTCATGATATATAGGAATACTGGTGATTTATGGGGATTTACTCGATATCCTGATACTTCACTAAAAACTCTTTGTGGTGGCAAAGAACCATAAATTGTAGGGATGCCCATCAGTTGGCAAAATGGCTGAACAAGTTCTCGTATATGATTGTGATTGAATACTACTGTGCTATAAGAAATGGTCAGCTTGATGATTTTAGAAGAACATGGATAAACTTGCATGAAGTAATAAAATGAGCAGAACCAAGAGAATGTTGTATGCAGCAACAACAATATTGTTTTGAGAACCAAAAGACCCCCCAAAAACATTTATTATAACACAGACACTGTGCTAAGTGCTAGGGATAAAAATTCAAGAAATAAGTGGGGTGAGGCAGGGAGGGGGAAGGTAGTAGTACAAGGGCATAGTAACAGAGTTGGGAGACTTGGAATCACAGACAGGAGGAGAATGAGGAGTGACAAATCTGAGCTCTTTTCCACAATGGGAAATTCTCTGAAGGAACTCATCAATGGAGAAAGGAGAGTGGCATAAGAGAATGATGTCTGAGGGAGAGAAGGCCCTGGACACTGAGTCATGACTCTGAAATCCACAGAATCAGAAACACAAGGTCATTTTACAGATGAAAAGTCATTACCTAGATGTTGGCTTGAAGTTCTCCCATGAGCAGAAACCCACTGCCTCCTGATAGAGCCCATTCCACATTTGGAAAGCTCTAACTGTAAGAAGTTAATTTCCTGCTTTGTTTGTTTTCTGAGATCAAGTCCAAATTTGTCTTTTTTGCCATATCCTCTCTAGGCTAAGGAAAATAGGTCTAATTCCTCTTGCTAGCTTTTCAAACACCTACAGATAGCTACCATTCCAAAAGCAGTGGAAGTAGAGTACATTTCTATTGTAGGCAGATACCTTGAAACTCCAAAGAAAGAATTCTTGGAGAGATCAAGATAAGTAGTTTCTTCCTCATTTTGGTCTTGGGGTTGGTGGTAGTATCAAGACTAGACCCTACTAGAGTTGATGGCCAGTAAGACCAAAGGCTGAATGAGAAGGGTTGTCATGTTCAGGCCAAAGGAAGTCTGTGGTGATTCATATTTAGTTTATTCCCCACTAAGACCCTCAAGTCTTTTTCACATATATAAGATATGCTGTGGGGTTACTCAACTAACCCATACTCAGACCAGCAAATTGAGTCCCTAGAGGATAACAATCACCTTCCTTCAAGGTTCTAGAGGTAGCCATGAGATGTTTGGGTATAGTTCTCCAATACTTATGAACTTAAAAACTTAAATATTTATTAACTTACACCAATGTGCTTCCTATATTGACTTTTTAATTGATATCAATGTTAGACAATTGATTTCTAAAAAGAAGCCTTTACTAAGGTTGAATAGTACAAACAGTTTGTAGAAAATAACTCACCCCTCCAAAGGAAAAAGAAAGGGCAGTGATATAGTCTTCCATAAATACAGAGATCATGCAGGGGAGAGTGGAATCAAATTTAGAGAGTACTTGTTACAAAGGGTTAGCACAGTTTGTGGAAGTCCTTTTCCTCATGGTGCTTTTCTTCCTTTCCTGGAATCCCTATGAAATTCCTCCTAGGCATGGTGTAATGTCTGCCTATGCTTCTTAAAAAGTCCCAGTGCTGTAATTATTAGAAAGTTTTTCCCTCCATCAAATCTAAATATTATTTTTTTTTGCAGTTTCCATGAATTATCAGTAGTCTTGCTCTCTAACAGCCCTTCAAATACTTGAAAGCAGTTGTCTCTCCCTTTCTCATCACGATATTCATATCCAATCTTACCTGTTCTTTAAAACCCTTCTAGCCTTTGTTTGGGTTCCTCTCCCTCTGTCTGTGTCCCCACCCCAGCCTTCCAAACATCCTTGGAGGCAGATAAATGCAGTCACCAACTGACAACTGATCAGAGTCTCTAGTTCACAATATGGTTGCATTGTATACTACCAAACCACCTGGTACCAAATACTTCCTGGATCTTACTCATAGTAGAACTCAAGGAGTTCTGGTTAATTTTGATTAAGTTGATTTTTGTGTTTGTGTTATAAGTATCCTCAGTAAAAGTCTGAGCATGCAGAGGAATGGGCATAGGAATAGAAGGTGAAAAGAAGGAGAGGTAGGAGAGAGAACAAAATAAATATAATACAATCAGAAATAACACAATCAGAATTTCGGATTATCTGGCTTATCCTCTACGAGAAACAGAAAAAGAGAAGAAAAAAAATAAGTAGACAGGGTAGATAAAAGATGACAAAATCAATAAAAATTACATTAGGATGTAGGTAGAGAATAGTAGGAAGTGATGTGTGCCAAAGAGACAGCTGCTCCTGATGAATTTAAGACAATGTGAGGAATGTGCCCAGATATTGCAGTGATGGCTCATACATCACATCATGGCTGTAAAACGACAACCAGCTATCAGATACATTGATGTACTGTACTCCAAATAGTATGGAGTCTATGCCCATGTCCTCATCATATATTTCTTCCTTACACTCTCCCTAGGCAGTCTAGCCCCTCCTCTGAAAATTCCCTATGTTCTTGACTACCTAAAGATCATGGGAAATACTTTCAGGATACTCACCAGCAGCTATGAGGGTAGGCAGTCTTTCCATCACCTCCCCTCCCTTCACCTACTCTCCCTGACCCTGTAAACTTACCTTGAGTGATAAGCTCAGCTCCAGTGCCATTCAGAGGTCTGTAGATTCAGGGAATATAAGGAGTCATCTATGCTGTGTATGAAAATGGCCATACTCTATAGCCCAGTACCCCATGTCTATGAGCAATGACATAACCCCTCTCTCTTCACTAGGTTTCCCATTGGTGCATCTGAGACTTACTTCTGGCTAGAGATTGTTCCTGGTGTTTGTATTATGTTTGACTGAGATGGGTTAGGTTACAATGGATGCAAAACTCTTCTATTATGACAAAAATAATAATTTATCTTTCTGAAATGATTTACAGTGATGAAAAAATCCCACAAATATGATCTCATTTGGCTCTCTAAAAAACACCATGAAGTA